ATTTCAGTTTGTATTTTTTGTATGTTCTCTCCTTTATTGCCGACGAACTGTGCACCGATTAGGCATTGGTGGAACTCATCATCGTCCGTTATAAAAACAGTGGATACAATAGGAGCTTTGCCTGAATGGAAAACACGCGCACGTGGTCTTGATTGACATCCAATATTCCGAAACAGCCATTTTGTCTTTCTAGTGTCTGTGAAATTTCCAATACGACATCCATCAGAAACCAACCGGCGACTGCATGCCCTTATAAAAGCTGCCATTTAGCTACATGTCCTCAAACATAGAGAATTTGTGAAGTTGCAGTGTCACAGATCATGCTCCCGAGTCTAATGCTCGACTTAACCGGTGTCAGGTAAAAAACAAACCCCTGTCAATCTAGTCTCGTTCAACCAGACTCTTTTGTCTTCGCAAGCTACGCCGAATTACAAGTGATCAAGCGTCTGGTTGAACGACTGTCAATCCGTGGAACAAGTGGTCCAGAGGGCCTGTATCGCTCAACTGTTTCTTTTGTTACATGAAACTGACATGACGGTATATGTAACTTCACACCAAATTTGGTAACCAGAACACAACACATTTTATCTAAAACGGTTCTGAATTATTGTTTGAAATTTTAATTTTAAAGCTTAATTTTTAACCCACATTGACCCTCGACTCTGGCTAGCACTTAAAGTTGACATTTGACCACATTACTGACATTAAGAAAACGGTCTACTGGTCTACATAACATATCCAAGCATCATGACTCTAGTCCAAATGGTTCTTAAGATGTTGTTTGAAGTTTTTAACATATTTGACCCATGTGACCTTGAAAGTAGGTCAAGGTCATTTTAATGAGGACACTTTATATCACTCTATCCCAGGTACTTACTGGCCAAATAGCATGACCCTGGGCCTTATGGAACTTGAGAAGATTGTTAAAGCTTTTAATCCATGTTGACATTTGACCCCCAGCTAGCACTTTAAGTTGACCTTTGATCTCATAACTATAATAAAGGAAAAGATTTGCACTGCTAGTCTACATAACATACTCAAATATCATGACTCTAGTCCAAATGGCTCTTAGGATATTATTGTTTGAATTGTTAACATACTTGACCTCTGTGACCTTGAAAGTAGGTCAGGGTAATTTTAATGAGGAAACTTTATAACACTCCATCCCAGGTACCTACTGGCCAAATATCATGACCCTAGGTCCTCGTGTTCTTCAGAAGAAGTCGTTCAAAAGAAAAAGGAAAAGTTGACAGACGCACGACGCAGTACGGCATAAGCTAAAAATATGACGGATAAACGCCGGATTTGTATCATTTCCCCCTTTTTTGTGATTCTTATCACAGGTAAATGTTGAAATACTTATTTGTTTTTGGGATATCAAATGCTAATATTAAAACGTTTAAGAGTATTATCCTTTCTATTCATAGCCTCGCTCAGAGTGACTCTCCATTCTGTCATGTTTTCATGGGCTTTGCGGGCTATAAATTGGACACAGATTTCATGCTGTGCAGTTATAGTCTCAGACAACAACACTGATGTATTTTAAAGCGTAGGATTTGTAATGTAAAGGTTCCTAGTTCGACCCCAGTTGTTTATATATATATATATATATATATATATATTTTTTCCTTCTGTTTCAAGCATTCAAATTTTAAACAGCAGTAACTCTGTAAAATGCATCGCAATTAACATGTCATTTTTATGGAACATTTCTTTTGGAAGGGATATAAACAAACATTTCACAATAGTGAATGACAACAGTTATATCATAGCTTAGCTTGTTACCATTTACCTTAAAAGTATTTAAAACTTCATTGGCACATAATTCTTTTAACTTGAAAGAATGTATGGCAAGCAAACTTAACATTTATTCAAGGATATCCAAATTTTATACAACTATATAATATTATTATAATATCATGTTACATAACATCTCATTTAATTTCTATATAAGATATCTTATATAGTGATGTATTTTTAGGAGATTTGCATGGGATAGGTTTTGTGTGGCTTGTAACATATTTCATATGCTATATCATACATCTGACGTATACGATAATTTATATAATGTAAAATATCGTCACTATAAAGTTAGATGTAGGATATCTTCTGTAGTACCGGGTACTACCAGAAATGTCGATTCCGCTGGAGAACATATCTAAATTGGACGGGAAACACAATTAGATTGCTGTTGACGGCATAACTCGGATAGCCTTTAATTTTCACAGTTTTACAATTTTTACAAACTTTTGCTTATTTGTGATACAATTTGTCCACATATCTCATGAAGCTGGCCTGTTGAAGTTTCCAGAGCACTTATGCGTCAACAAAAGATCTATCAATGTAAACGAGTTGTGTTATTTTTAAGGTATATTATACAAAGACTTACAACACACATGGATCTCCACTGTACAATAGGAGTCCAGAGGGCCTGTATCGCTCGCCTGCAATCATGATGACAAACTATTCCCATTAAGTACTATAGGCCTTCTGCAAATATTGTATTGGCTCTGTTACTCAGCAACACTCTAACCTTATTGGGTTCCATCCCTCTGTCTCCATATGGGTGGGTTGGGGACGAAGCATGGTTAATATGCAACATTGAATCCTATTGGGCCAATGATATATATTCTATATCGGTTTAGACTCACTTTTTCCGTATGGAAGAAAACAATTTACATCTACTTTGTTGAACCCTGTACCTCTGCCCCCACGGGCCACATACGCTGTGTATACAAAATTATATCCCCTTTGCCCAAACATCCTCCAGGTCAAATTTAGTACAAAAACCAGTACAGAGCCGTTTAGGATTACAGTAACACTTTAAAGGAAAAGTTGAGACGGACACCACTCCACGGTATAAGCTCATCAGGTGAGCTAAAAACAACATATATGGAGAGATGTTTGGTGCCTTATTATTAGCACTCTCTGTCAGATTACAATGGGGGCATGGTAGTCAGGTGGTAGGGCGCCAGGCTCATGACCAAAAGGTTGCGGGTTCGAGACACGTCACGGCACTGTGTTGTATCCTTGAGCAAGTTACTCTTAACTCCGCTTGTTCCAGTCTACTCAGCTGTAAATGAGTACGTGGTTGGACAGTGCTAGAATTGTTGAATGATGGCTGTGAGCGCCGAAATGGCAGCACCGGCTATATGCTCTCCAGGGAGTTGAGAGATATTGGCTGGTTGCAAAGGCCCTATAACAAAGGATAATAATTTGTGAACCGCTTTGAGATGACCTACGAACTAGGTTGTGATAAAGAGGTACATATAAGAACCTCAAACTATTTTTACTATTATTACAATATAATCCACATACTGCTTGGAGGTCACCTCGATACTCCAGGGGTTACGCTCACTTAGGTTGTGCAGAGAGCGTAGGTGAATGTAACCAGTGGAGTATCGAGGATGCTTGGAGGTATGTCTATTAGATTATGAAAACTTTGTATTTCTTTGTACAATTTTTGTCGACAAAATGATGAAGTCTTAAATGTATATTTGAGGAGAATGTATTGCCCTTGTCACATTGTGCTAAAGTTTTGGTCACATATTTTTATGTGTATTTTTGTACGCATGTTCATCTAATTACAAATGGAAGATTGATTAACCTTATACTTTTATTAATGTTCTAGTAACGTTTCAAACTGGGGGAAATAAAGAAATAACAATAATTGGCGCGATATGTCTCTTTGACAAATGCTAGTCTTTGGTAATAGCTGCCCCAGCTGTTCTGACCGAGATATGGGTAACTGCGAAGACACTACGTAGCTATATAATATGAAAGTTCTAGAGAACATCAATAAAAGACCCGATTAGGGGGTTTATTGTTTTACTTCGTTGTTAGACTTCTACGTAGTCTTGTCAGATTTAATACAAATCTTGTATCGCAAAAATACTATGGAGGAATTGTATAAGTATATGGTTGTACGGTGGTGAAATCAAATGTTTCCAAGTTGTGACTAGAACCAAGTCCCTAGGGGTGTGGCAAGACCCAGGGTCAATTATATTCATCTCTTTATACACAGCAATCATAAATATAGTTATTGGGATCTAAATGGTTATGACCATATCTTTACATTTCTACTTATCTTGGACTCAATATACCTACTTGACATTTTATAGGTTATTTTTCAATGAACTTTTCAGTTGGCATATGAATACATCAGCATATTATCAACCTGGTTCCTCTGTTATTCCGCGGAGCGCGGGAAGAAGTTCCATTCATAGATTGTTTTCAATTTGTGATTGAAGTTTTTGGACATATTTGACCCCTGTGACCTTGAATATGTCTAGGTCATTTTTATTCACAAACTTTGTTGGGTTCCATTCAAGGAAGCTACCAGCATAATATCATGACTTGGTCCTCTGTTCTTCAGAAGTTGTTTGAAGATTATTATAATAGATTCCATAACCTTCAATATAGATCAAGGTCTTTTTTATTTTGAAAGCTTTGCTGGGCTCCATCCTGGGAAGCTACCAGCCTTAAATCATGATTCTATGTCTTTTGTTTTTTCTAAAGAAGTGGTTTGAAGATTTTGACATTTATGACACCTGTGACCTTGCCCAGGCCAAGCCCATCTTTATTCGCTATTTTTTTTGCACTAATTTGCCAGTAGCTACCAAACTGATACTGTGATGCATCACAATTCTAGGCCTTTCCATTCTTTAGAAGTCATAAAGTTTTAAACAAAATTAACCTTTGTCAATTTGTGACCTTGAACAGAGGTCAAGGTTACTTTCACTTGCAAACTATTTTGAGCTCTTTCCCAGAAAGCTACCAGTATAATATCATGATTGCTGACATTTCCATTTTTCAGAAGAAATTGTTTGAAGTTATTGACCAATTTGACCACTGCGACCTTGAATACAAGTCAAGGTCACTTTTATTTGCATACTTTGTTGTAGTCCATTCCAGGAAACTACAAGCCTAATTTCATGATTCTAGGCCTTTCTATTTTTCCTTCGGCCAGGTGAGCTAAAAAATAAAACAAAACTAGAAGACCTGGAGAACTATCTGTTTATTTCCTTCAGCATATCTCACATCAGTCTCTCTCTCACTAATAAATAATTATGTATGTTCCAGAATCTACATGTGATCGGTATAAGTACACACACACATCGGTACAGCTAAACATGCGAGTCCAGTATAAGTACACACACACATTGGTACAGCTAGACACCCGAGTCCAGTATAAGTACACACACACATAGGTACAGCTAAACACGTGAGTCCAGTATAAGTACACACACACATCGGTACAGCTAGACACCCGAGTTCAGTATTAGTACACACACACATCCGTACAGCTAGACACCCGAGTCCAGTATAACTACACACACACATCCGTACAGCTAGACGTGCGAGTCCAGTATATATTTATATTTAGAATTAAGCCCACCCCATGAAACAGACTTACATGGCTCATGTTTTGAGCATATGCATCTTGTCCAGTGCCCCCTTCCCTCCCCCCAGTAAAACATGGTAAAATGTCACACCTTACATAGGTTTAACATACACACCTTTCTTACACACAGAGGTATCATCACAACATTAATATTGTCGTACACACATGTATATATATAATTACACGTGCGAGTACAATTTGTAGCTACACATGTACACACAATATGTGTGTATACAGTATACAATAGACCTAATGGGCCTGTAACACTCACCTGCGACCTAAGAGTTTGGTTAAAAGATATTGCACCTGTCAGTAGAGATCAAATGCAAGAGCTAACACTACAAGACAAATACCATTATTGTCCTACAGCTTTAAGACGTTTGTTTGAAATTTGATTTTTTTTATTCATGTGACCTATTAAGTACGTCAAGGTTATTCATTTGACAAAAATCCGATAGTGTGCTATCCTAGCAAGCTAATAACCAGCTTTTCCTCTTTAAAGACCCTCAGAAGCAGTTTTTTTACACATAATCCCTGTGAGGGAGAACAAGGTCAAGGTCATTTGCCTAATGTATAAAATTGATTGTAAGCCTTTGTTTTTGTATCACAATTATAACTAATACTATTATCCATATGTTGTAAAGCACTTTAGAGTAATTTTACAAATTATATAGGGCACTATATAAATGTTTGTATATTATTATTGTTATTATTTATTCGGACAAACTTAATGGCCTTTAAACCCACTATGATTCAGGTACACCATCATAAGTTAAATGTTTGACAATATTTTTTATTATTTTTCTCCCATAAAATTATTCCTGTGAGCTGTCTTTCCAACAGCTAAAGACAGATTCATCTATTCCCTAGCGAAAATTGGAAAGCACCTGAAATGTGGGACAATTCGTCTTCGAGTGTTAGGAAAAGTTGGAATGAAACTACAGGTGTGTAAACATCACTTGTTCTACATGTGATTGAGTATGCTGTGTTTGTGGAAGTAAAATTCTTTTATATCTCCAGCTAGGTAAATGTGAAAATCAAAATAAGGTTGAGTTAATTCAAATATTTTTCAAAATTATTTTTTATCCACTGCAAAACATTTCACTCGACTCATTATATCTCAACATGTCACACAACTAATATCACATGACTCACGGTCCCTGTGTCACATGACTTCCATCACATGACTCACTATCCCTGTGTCACATGACTTCCATCACATGACTTACTATCCCTGTGTCACATGACTTCCATCACATGACTCACTATCCCTGTGACACATGACTTCCTAACCCTGTCACATGACTTCCAACCCATGACTCACTATCCGTGTGTCGCACGACTTCCATCACATGACACACTATCCCTTTGACACATGACTTCCATCAAATGACTCACTATCCCTGTGACACATGACTTCCTAACCCTGTCACATGACTTCCAACACATGACTCACTATCCGTGTGTCACATGACTTTCATCACATGATTCAATATCCCTGTGACACATGACTTCCTATCCCTGTCACATGACTTCCAACACATGACTCACTATCCGTGTGTCACATGACTTTCATCACATGATTCAATATCCCTGTGTCACATGTCTTCCATCACATGACTCACTATCCCTTTGACACATGACTTCCATCAAATGACTCACTATCCATGTGACACGACTTCCTATCCCTGTCACATGACTTCCATCACATGACTCACTATCCCTGTGTCACATGACTTCCATCACATGACTCACTATCCCTGTGACACATGACTCACTATCCGTGTGTCACATGACTTCCATCACATGACTCACTATCCCTGTGACACATGACTTCCTATCCCTGTCACATGACTTCCAACACATGACTCACTATCCGTGTGTCGCACGACTTCCATCACATGACTCACTATCCCTGTGTCACATGACTTCCAACACATGACTCACTCTCCGTATGTCACATGACTTCCATCACATGACTCACTATCCCTGTGTCACATGACTTCCAACACATGACTCACTATCCGTATATCACATGACTTCCATCACATGACTCACTATCCCTGTGTCACATGACTTCCATCACATGAATCACTATCAGTGTGTCACATGACTTCCATCACATGACTCACTACCCGTGTGTCACATGACTTCCATCACATGACTCACTATCCCTGTATCACATGACTTCCATCACATGACTCACTATCCCTATGTCACATGACTTCTATCACATGATTCACTATCCCTGTGTCACATGACTCACTATCCCCGTGTCACATGACTTCCACCACATGACTCACTATCCGTGTGTCACATGACTTCCATCACATGACTCAACATCCTTGTATAACATGACTTCCTATCCCTGTGTCACATGATTTCCATCACATGACCACCTGCACATATCACACACTGAGTTAAGAATATGTAGGACATTCATTTTCACACTAAAACCTCACACCCATCTTTTAGTACATATAATAATAAAACATTTGGCAATGGTATTGTAGTGTCTCCCTGGAAAACCAGCTGTGTCCAAACAGCTAGTGGTGTTGGTCATTCTACGTCTGGTCAGTGTTCCTAGACCAACTTCCTTTGTACTGACCCTGTTGAGTGAGCAAGACCGACATCTGTAATAAGGGATCTGGTGACCTGTGTAATATCGCATCACATGGTCAAATGTACCAGAACAAGGAATACTGGGTCTCTTTCATAGGAAAAACTGGGTCGGTCCCTAGGCTGCTGGTCAGTGATGATCTGTAACAGAAATCACGGGTCAATAAGATTTGTAACAGGAATCACTGGTCAGTTCTGATCTATAACAGGAATACTTGGTTCATTATGATCTGTAACAGGAATCACTGGTTCATTATGATCTATAACAGGAATCCATGGTTCATTATGATCTATAACAGGAATACTTGGTTCATTATGATCTATAACAGGAATACTTGGTTCATTATGATCTATAACAGGAATCCTCGGTTCATTATGATCTATAACAGGAATCACAGGTCTGTTATGATCTATAACAGGAATCCTTGGTTCATTATGATCTATAACAGGAATCACAGGTCTGTTATGATCTATCACAGCAATCACTGGTCAGTTCTGATCTATAACAGGAATCACTGGTCAGTTATCATTTTTTAACAGGAATATCAGGTCAGTTATGATCTATAACAGGAATCACAGGTCAGCTCAGATCTATAACAGGAATCACTGGTCAGTTCTGATCTATAACAGGAATCACAGGTCTGTTATGATCTATAACAGGAATCACAGGTCTGTTAGGATCTATCACAGGAATCACTGGTCAGTTCTGATCTATAACAGGAATCACTGGTCAGTTCTCTTTTATAACAGGAATATCGGGACTGTTTTGATCTATAACAGGAATATCGGGTAAGTTCTGATCTATAACAGGGATATCGGGTCAGTTCTGATCTTTAACAGGAATATCGGGTCAGTTACGATATATAACAACAGGATTCACAGGTCTGTTATGATCTATAACAGGAATCACAGGTCTGTTCGGATCTATCACAGGAATCACAGGTTAGTTATGATCTATAACAGGAATCACAGGTCTGTTATGATATATAACAGGAATCACTGGTCTGTTATGATCTATAACAGGAATTACAGGTCTGTTATGATCTATAACAGGAATCACTGGTCAGTTCTCATCTATAACAGGAATATCGGGTCAGTTCTGATCTATAACAGGATTCACAGGTCTGTTATGATCTATAACAGGAATCACTGGTCAGTTCTAATCTATAACAGGAATATCGGATCTGTTATGATCTATAACAGGAATTAGAGGTCTGTTATGATCTATAACAGGAATATCGGGTCTGTTATGATCTATAACAGGAATTACTGGTCAATTATGATCTATAAAAGGAATCACAGGTCTGTTATGATCTATAACAGGAATCACTGGTCAGTTCTCATCTATAACAGGAATATTGGGTCAGTTCTGATCTATAACAGGAATATTGGGTCAGTTCTGATCTATAACAGGAATCACAGGTCTGTTATGATCTATAACAGGAATCACTGGTCAGTTCTCTTTTATAACAGGAATATCGGGACTGTTCTGATGTATAACAGGAATATCGGGTCAGTTCTGATCTATAACAGGAATCACAGGTCTGTTATGATCTATAACAGGAATCACTGGTCTGTTCTCTTTTATAACAGGAATATCGGGACTGTTCTGATGTATAACAGGAATATCGGGTCAGTTCTGATCTATAACAGGAATCACAGGTCTGTTATGATCTATAACAGGAATCACTGGTCTGTTCTCTTTTATAACAGGAATATCGGGACTGTTCTGATGTATAACAGGAATATCGGGTCAGTTCTGATCTATAACAGGAATCACAGGTCTGTTATGATCCATAACAGGAATCACTGGTCTGTTCTCTTTTATAACAGGAATATCGGGACTGTTCTGATCTATAACAGGAATATCGGGTCAGTTATAATCTATAACAGGAATCACTGGTCAGTTTTGATCTTTAACAGGAATTTCGGGTCAGTTATGATCTATAACAGGAATCACTGGTCAGTTATAATCTATAACAGGAATATCCGGTCAGTTATGATCTATAACAGGAATCACTGGTCAGTTTTGATCTATAACAGGAATATCGGGTCAGTTATGATCTATAACAGGAATCACTGGTCAGTTATAATCTATAACAGGAATATCGAGTCAGTTATGATATATAACAGGAATCACTGGTCAGTTATGATCTATAACAGGAATCACTGGTCAGTTATAATCTTTAACAGGAATATCGGGTCAGTTACGATATATAACAGGAGTCACAGGTCTGTTTTGATCTATCACAGATTTAACTGGTCTCACACCAGCTTTATTACTGCTTGGTGTGTTGTATTCTTACCTGTAACTAATAGTATGTGTAGACCTCAGTCAGGCCCTGAAACAGAACAAACACTCCATGAAAATGTCAGCAAGAGACAAGCTTGTAACTGCTTAATCAATTTCCTTATTTGTACAAAAGACACTTACAATTCTGTAATCTAACCACAAATACATTGTCAGGATTCATTCTCACCTTGGTTTTAATATCAAAACTGTCTACTGCAGACTAAAAAAAACACCTAAAAAACAACTTCTACCCAGTAGCAGACATTCCCAATTAGCGCTAGTTGGTTTTCATTGCTAACAAAAATTCCAAATTTTGCTTTATCTCTTACCAATCATCTTTTTGAAGATTTCAAAAACTACAATGTAATAACAGTCACTTTTTCAAGTTTTTCCCCCCTCAAAACCTTTATAGAAATCCCAGAAACCATCTTTTTGATAACTTTACAAATACTTCTTCATGGAAAAGCGATAACATATTTAATAACTGTTAACTTTACCTGTTTCGTGGTTATTGATTCCTTTTGGATCCAAGTCCATGGCCCAGGAAAAATTCATTAGTGCTAAATCAGAATTACCTAACTTCTTGTGAACCTGGAAATAAACACAACCACATAGTCAGTGCTGTCCTGTAATGTAAACTAGGCACACTATAACCATCTCTTTGCATTTCTAACCCATGAAATAAACCTCCCTAGCAATTAATACATTGATAACAGAAAATTCTTTAGACTTGAACCTGAGTTAAGATCTTAAAATTCCACAGATACTTCCTTGCTTTCCTCCTGATTTTCTGGTTTTCTCTGTCCAAACCCCCCCTCCCTTCAAAAATATTCCCCAAGGTTTTCACTAATTTTCCCCAACCTTGACAAGAATCCTTCCACTACCGTAGGAACCCTAATTAACCTGGGGTACACTTACCTTGACTAGAATCCTTCCACTACCGTAGGAACCCTAATTAACCTGGGGTACACTTACCTTGCCTATTAAGAAATACACGAGAGATTCTTTGGGAACAATTTGCTTTAGCTCCTCTAACTCCTGTAGGGCATCCTGTAGATAGAATTGTGTGTTTTAGTAAACATGTATGTAAACATGTAGTTAGAGCATCTGTTGATGTAGTCACCACTAACAACTGTCATAACTTCAAAACCTTATAGCGAACCTAAAAATAGGTTTGTTTGCTTGTTCAGTTCATGAAGGAAAAGATTGACAACATTTTTGTCTATGTTCTAAAAACTGACAGTCATCAAGTTATACATTGTATTATAATAACAAGAGGCCCATGGGCCTTAACGGTCACCTGATATATTTATACAGAGAGTTGATTTTGTTTTTAACAGAACAGAAATATTATTCAAAGTGACAAAAAAAAATAAAACCACCTTACTCAATATCTAGCATACAGATTTCAGACTAAAAAGGATTTGAAACTAGCACCTCTGATTCTTAACAAGGAAAATGAAGAAATTTTAGCACACTGACTCCTTTGAGCCCCACCCTACAGCCCTTGGGGGTAGGGCTGGCTCAAAATTTTCAAAGTATCAAACTGTCAATTCAAGGTTATAATTCCAATCAAGTTATTAACATGTAATATTCAAAGTATCATTTGCCATTATAAACCATAATAAATTT